GCTATGAGTCGCAAGCGATTCGACGGCACATAACAACAACACAACGACCTAATCATTGGAACCAAAGTTTGCTGAGATGTGAGGAGTAGGTGTAATGAAATGTCTTTTTTTTTTAGTTGTTATTCTGCTTTATTAATCCAGTAAATTTTCTGAAACAAAAGATTTTCTGAATGTTGATTTCAAAATTTTCCTCTTAAACTTCAACTTAAGTATTTATTTTCTTCTTATTAATTTTAATGAAAGTTTATAGGGACTTAGGGTTTCTTGTCATTCATCATTGCACTTTTCTCCCTACCCACCCCTTCGCTCTCAAGTCTCTCTTCTCTTTGAAAATAAAAAGAACAACTCTTTGTTATGCAACTCCTCCCCCCAAGTTCACTCCAGTATGCAGCCTTCACTCTGGACTGCTCTAATGACAAGAATACCCATTCATATGTCCCTTTTAAACAGTCTGTCCCTCATCTGTTTCAATGCAATATACATCATTCCTCCCCTCCTTTTCTGTCTTCCTTCAACCCGGATGTCAGTCCCATTTTACAACAGTGCCCCTATGCAATATTTGTCCTTTTGTGACTGAGATATTTCACTCAGCATAATGTCCTCCAGGGTCATCCATTTTGCATAATATTTCATGATTCCTTGTTTTTCAATGCAGCATAGTATTCCATAATGTGACTATACCAGAGCTTCTCTATCCATTCATTTGTTGATGCACACTTGAGTTGTTTCCAACTCTTTGCTATTGTGAACAAGGCTGCAATAATGAAATTTCTTTTGTGATAAACCATCTGAAATAACATGTTTGGTTTCATTTTTTGCAGTTTGTGCCTCAACAAAGATTGCTGATATTTGAGATAATAAATTTATTATTGTTCACTCTTTTATTGCCACTTGGTGTAATTACTTGACTATACAGAAATTTCCTGAGGTCAGATGAAGTCACTATATCTTTTTATAATTGCAGGTGAATCTATACCATTTAGAAGAGTCTGTGGCACCAGGGAGATCATTGCTGATGTCAGGTGGATTCTGGCTGAAAGTAAAGAATAAGAGAAGAGTGTTTATTTGTGCTATATTGACTATACAAAAATATTTGACTGTGTGGATCATGGCAACTTATAGCTGACATTGAGAGGAATGGGAATCCCAGAACACTAGATTGTGCTCATGCATAACCTGTGTCTGCACCAGCAGGCTGCTTCGCAAACAGAGCAGGGGAGGACTGCATGGTTTGGAATTGGGAAGGGAGTGCATCAGGGTTGTATTTTTTCTCCATACCTGTCCAAACGATATGCTGAGCAAATTATCAGAGAGTCAGGACTCTATGAGAAGTGTGGCATCAGGATTGGAAGGAAACTCATCAATAACCTGCACTGCAGATGATACAACCTTGCTTGCTGAAAGTGAGGAAGACTTGAAGCACTTGTTGCAGAAGATCAAGAAACACAGCCCTCAGTATGGATTATATCTCAATATCAAGAAAATGAAGATTCTTACCACTGGACCAGGTAGTGTCGTGACAGAGAGAAGATTGAAACTGTCAACAGCTTTATCTTGCTTGGATCCACAATTAACTCCCTTAGTACAAGCAGTCAGGAAATAAGGAGACGCATTGCACTGGGAAAATCTTCAGTTAGGGACCTTTCCAATTATTGAGGAGTA